ACTGCACCCTAAAACTTCCTGCTGATGGGGGGAAATGCCTGGAATTGCCCCTGGAACCCCAAAATCCCCCTGCTTTGCCTCAGATCCCTGCTGCTATGCCCCAAATCCCGCTGCTTTACCCCCAAATCCCGCCGCTTTACCCCCTCGTTTTCACCACCCCCCATCCCAGGATCTCTGGGTGACACCCCCAAGTTCTGGGGTAGAACCCCGTGTTTTGGGGACCCTCCCTGAATTTTCCCTCTCCCACAGCTCCGCCTCCTCCTGAGGAGCCGCCGGGGGTCCCATCGCCCCCCGCCCACCGCCGAGTGACGTCAGAGGGGCGGGGTCTCCCCGGTATCAGATGAGGGGACACCCCCATATTGGGGGATTGAACTTTTCCTGATTTCAATGAAATTGCCCCCAAATTTCTGTGAAATGAGTCTGAACCACATTGGTTTGGTGGGGGGAGGAACGTGGAGGGAGTCGAGCTCCCCCTTGCCCTCCCCCTCAGCCTCATTAATGGGGGCTGCTAATGAGGGGCGTCTCCTCTAAATTGGGGAATTTGGGTGGAACATACCAAATTGGAGAGGAAACCCAAAAACTGAGAGAATTCTGGAATTGAATAAAAACTTCCTGAAAATCTGAGTCTGATTTTTCCCAGTACTCTCAGTCCCTCCCAGTGCATCCCAGTGACAACAGAAAAAGGAGGGGGTTTTGAAACAAAGGGCTTCAAATTGAGAAAAACTCCTTTTTTCTTATTTTAAGGATTAAGTCATCAAAACCACCTCTTTGATACTATTTTAGGGCTTTAAATTAGGGGGGTAAACGGTGGGAAGCATGAGGGGGAAAGAGCAGGAAACATAAGGGAGAAAGGGTGGGAAATGCAAGGGGAAGGAGGTGATAACCATGAGGGTGGGAAATGCAAGGAAGCCAATTGAGCTTAGTAACACTCTATATGGAGTCCAGCGTTATACACTGATGTGTTGTCTTGATTTTTGAAGTTTTTCTAAGCCTTCTGATGCTTACATTCTCATAATGAAGTTTTTCACACACTTTAGGTAAATAACTTATTGTTTTACGTTATTTTATAGAAGAAGAAAGACTTGATAAACTGTTGGTTTGTCTAGTGTCATTGGAAAGGCAGCGCTGTCACCCTCCAATCCACTGTGACTTTTGAAAATCTATAAATGTTGGAGTCAAAAATTTAATATATTCTCTTTTACCCTTATAAAGAACTGCGTGTCCGCGCCGCGTTATTTCGTGTCCCATAGTAACACTGATTCAGTACAGGACCTGAAAAATATAAAAAGATAAAAACTTGAACCAAAAGCCATCCCCCCACGGGTCGGTGCCCTCTCTCCCAAGGGCACAGCGCCCCCTCGCTGCCGTTTCCCGCTCACGGCTCCAGCANCCCTGTTTGGGGGAGGGGCCGTTCCTGACCCCTCTTGGTTCCCCCCCAGGCCAGACCCCTCTGCACTGCGCTGTGCTGGCCCACAACGCCTCGCTGCAGGGAGGGCACAGCCCCGTGGGGGGCTCTGCAGGGGGGTCCCCCACTCCCCAGGACCGATTCCGCTGTGTGGAGCTGCTCCTGCTGATGGGGGCAGACAGCAGCAGCCAGGTACAGACCCCCCCAAAGACCCCCAGGTACCCCACAACTCTCCAGGTGTCCCTCACATCCCCTGGGTTCCCCACAGACCTCTCAAAGATGACTGTGTCCCACCTCGAGGTCCCTGTGCATTGGAAGCCTTTGGGGTCTGTTGGGGTACCTTGGGAGGGTTGGGGAGGGGTGTGAGACCCCCACAATACCTGTGTGCCCCCCAAAGACCCCTGTGTGCCCCCCAAAGACCCCTGTGTGCCCCCAAAGACCCCTGTGTCTCCCTTCAAAGCCCCCATGGGCTGGATAAACCTGTTCTCCCAGGCACTGGGATTTCTTGGGGTCCCTTTGGGGAGGTTGAGGAGGTTGTAGGGGGGTGATACCTCCTGTGGGGCCCCCCCGACCCCTGTTTTGCCCCCAGGACACCAAAAGCAGCCTGACAGCTCTGCACCTGGCTGTGAGGGGAGGCAACCTTGCCCTGGCCCACCTGCTGCTGCGCCAGCCTGGCATGGCCCCCCGCCTGGTCAACATGAAGGTGTGAGGGACTTGGGGGGCTGGGGGGGCTCTGGGGGGAGGTCTTGGTTCCCTCTAGGGCTCTGTGGGGGATCTGGGGCTGGGGGACCTCTGTGGGGCTCTTGGGGCTGATTGGAGGGGTCTGTGGAGCTCTTTGGGGTTCCTGTAGTGGCTTGTGGGGTGTGAAGGGGCTCTGGGAGGCTCAGAGGGATCAGAGGGGCACCGGGGGCTTTGGGGTGTCTGGAGGTATCAGAATCAGATCTCAAGGGTGTCTGAGGGGGCTGGAGGGTGACTCTGGGTACCCTGAGCCCCCTCCCATCCCTCAGGCCCACGGGAACACCCCCCTGCACATGGCAGCAGCACTGCCTGG